CTAAACAAAACTTGGACCTTCACCAACAACGATATATCACTTACACTAGATTGAAAGTATCTCCCGAGTGCTCCTTTTCGTATCAACGAAAGTTAGTTTTCAAGATCCCTGTAGAGGCAATTCATCAAAAAACCCATAACAAACTAAGGAAGGCGCATCGAGACAATTTTGGGATCTGTTATATCTAGGCTTCACGTTTCGTCTATTTAATCCCTACTTCAACACTTAATATAGATAATTCCCTAAATGCGATGAGGAGCACCTTGCTTAAGTGCTATAAAAAGTCTGTCCGCTTACCCAACCAGGCAGGAAATGGCAATCAGTTTGGTGGTTAAAACATTTAGCCTAATTAAGGAGGGATAGAAGGCGTTTATAAAATAGGGCCAACAATACCAAACAACATACGGACTGGGATGCCTAAAAGGCATCATTCAACAAGTACAACTATGAAATCAAGAAGGCCTTAAGTACATCTTGGGTATGCTTCACTGAGTCAATAGAAAGCGTCAATGACGCTGCCACATTACGTAAAGTCCTTTCGAAGGATCCTAAATTCATAGGAAGTATAAAGCGGATCGATGGTACGTGGACTGATTCCGGACTGGAAACTCTTATTCTGTTGGCCAACACTCACTTCTCCAACTGTACTGACGCGGTAATTAATCGGCAATCGGGACCTAAACCTGATTGACAGAATTGTAAGCAACTCCAAAATTAGGTGGGCCATAGACACCTTCAATCCTTTTAAATCATCCGACGCATCAATATCTCTAATTCTGGTTGAGATTTTCAAAGCTTATCTGTGTTTATCCTTCATCCCAGAACTCTGGAGAGAAGTCGCCTTTACCAACCAAGTCATTTGCTTCCTAAGGATTACAGACCAATTAGTATCTCAACGTTTTTATTGAAAACACTATAAAGGTTCATTTATATAGAAATCAGATTTGTACTACCCCCAACTGCCATCAACAATGCTCAACATGCCTATATGAAAGTTAAATCCGTTTGAACAGCGCAAAACGATGTCGTGGGTTACATTAAGAAAATATGAATGACTCCCTGTTCACCTTGGAAGCTTTTCTCGATATTGAGGGAGCCTTCAACAATGTCACAATCGAGCCCAGTCGTAGCTCTCTTTTAAGATTTAAAGTACCCCAACTCCTCATCAATGGCATTGATACCATGCTTAGTAGCAGAATCATAAATTCACGCATTGCCGAAACGTCCGTCAATAAATCGGTCACCAGAGGCGTGCCGCAAGGCATAGTCCTGTTACCATTACTTTGGCTAATGGTCAACATTAATATACTCATAGGTTTGGAGCAAAATGGGTATAAAGTTGGCGATGTTGTACTATGGAATTCTGGGAAATTCCTGCCAACTATTTCATATCTAATGCAAGGAGTTCTGGTCGCCTTGTCAAGGCGGGCATACCGTAATTGACTAGGCGTAAACCTATCAAAGACAGAGCATGTCCTCCCTACGAGGAAACATAAATGGCCTTCCTTTATACCACCAATGTTAGATGGAGTCACACTAAAGCTCTCCTCTGAAGCCAAATACCTGGGCACCATCATTTAAATTGGAAGAGGAACGTGAAGGACTGGTTTAATTGCACTCTATTTTTACAAGAACTCTATAGATAACAGTTGGGACCTCAACCCACACATAATTAAACGGGTTTATGAGAATGGAGCTCTAGTCTAATGGCACTCTTTAAATATGTCATTTTGTTGACGTAGCATTGACAAAGTTCAAGGAGCTGCATCGTTGCTAATAACAGGTGCTTTCAGAAGCACAACTTAGGCTGCTTTGGACACCCTATTGTGCTTAAGCCCACTTAGCATACACGTAGCGGAACAGGCACTTAGGTGTTCTCTCCGACTCAGAAAATAAAATCTATGGCTCGGTCAATCCTACCCGCTAGCAACATGAACTAGTTCGGCATCGGAAACTCGTCGATTCTCAGAGTTACAGTAACTAGTTTCACTTAAGACCCCTCACAGTGCAAACAACTGTAAACTATAACATGGGGATGTCATACGAAGTAACCAATTGGCTCCCTTTGCATTACCTGTAGATGGTACTTTACTAGTTCCAGGTTTACAGTCATATACCAGTGACAAGAGACTAACCCTCACCAAGTTCCCAGTACACAGCCACAGACTAGTGTCAGCAGACTACCTTTTAACTAGTTCTATGTATACAGTTATGTACTAGTGTCATTTGACTATCCCTTATGCTAGGAACACAATTGGAGCGAACGACGAATTTCGCCCTACGCGGCGACAAAATAAGCCGCGAAAATTCGTCGTATGGAACAAAATATCGACGAAATTATAAAACAGCTGATGAAGTTGTTTACTTTTTGCTCATTTGTTGACTACAATGAAAATTATACAAGAACCCATAATTCTTTTCGTTCTCTATTATAATTACAGTTATGTCCATCTTCTTTATTATAAATTCACTGATATCCATCTTCACTCAGGCGCAAGTGCACAAATAAATAAACAAATTATTCGGATTTGAACCGCGGACCTCTGTGTGCAGCCAACTAGAAGTTGCCGTCTCTACGTTCAGAGCCATTAACCCGCCTTCCTAAAGCAGCACTAAAACAAGTGTATGCATTGGAAGCAATGTAGTTGTTGTGGGCAAAAAATCCATCACTACAAAAACAAAACGTTGCTGTGAAAAAGATCTGCCAATAGAACTTGAGTCGAACCTGGAGAGTTTCTAGTGTATAATTCGCATATGCTAATTTGCAATAAGTTCGAAATATATTCTACTTTCCAGAGAACGGCCCTTGTAAGCCATCATCCACATCAAATATGCCTGATGAGCCGCTTAACCAACGGCGAAACGCGTCGCATAGTGGTGAGTGTGTGATAGTGTCTATCTGGATTTCCTTTTCACTGCAAATTTCAGATCATTAAGCTCGTCTCGAAAGAGAAAACAAACACTTAAATCATAAAACATATGATCTTCGCCTTAACAAGGCAAAACTCAAAAATTCAGCCGAGCCTGGCTGTGGGATTTGAACCGCGGACCTCTGTGTGCAGCCAGCTAGAAGTTGCCGTCTCTACGTTCAGAGCCATTAACCCGTCTTCCTAAAGCAGCACTAAAACAAGTGTATGCATTGGAAGCAATGTAGTTGTTGTGGACAAAAAATCCATCACTACAAAAACAAAACGTTGCTGTGAAAAAGATCTGCCAATAGAACTTGAGTCGAACCTGGAGAGTTTCTAGTGTATAATTCGCATATGCTAATTTGCAATAAGTTCGAAATATATACTACTTTCCAGAGAACGGCCCTTGTAAGCCATCATCCACATCAAATATGCCTGATGAGCCGCTTAACCAACGGCGAAACGCGTCGCATAGTGGTGAGTGTGTGATAGTGTCTATCTGGCTTTCCTTTTCACTGCAAATTTCAGATCATTAAGCTCGTCTCGAAAGTGAAAACAAACACTTAAATCATAAAACATATGATCTTCGCCTTAACAAGGCAAAACTCAAAATTCAGCCGAGCCTGGCTGTGGGATTTGAACCGCGGACCTCTGTGTGCAGCCAACTAGAAGTTGCCGTCTCTACGTTCAGAGCCATTAACCCGTCTTCCTAAAGCAGCACTAAAACAAGTGTATGCATTGGAAGCAATGTAGTTGTTGTGGACAAAAAATCCATCACTACAAAAACAAAACGTTGCAGTGAAAAAGATCTGCCAATAGAACTTCAGTCGAACCTGGAGAGTTTCTAGTGTATAATTCGCATATGCTAATTTGCAATAAGTTCGAAATATATACTACTTTCCAGAGAACGGCCCTTGTAAGCCATCATCCACATCAAATATGCCTGATGAGCCGCTTAACCAACGGCGAAACGCGTCGCATAGTGGTGAGTGTGTGATAGTGTCTATCTGGCTTTCCTTTTCACTGCAAATTTCAGATCATTAAGCTCGTCTCGAAAGAGAAAACAAAGACTTAAATCATAAAACATATGATCTTCGCCTTAACAAGGCAAAACTCAAATTATTTATGTTTTTTTATACGAATAACAGATAGTAGAGTGACCATAACAAATTTTAAAGTAAAAAGTATCTTTATTTACTAAAACACATAAAATTCGTACAAGTATGGCCACCTTGTACTGTTTTGTTCGCCGGTCGCCGGCGTATGAAATAGAAATAAAGCTAATTGAGTTCGCGGCGACCGACGAAATTTTCGCCGGCGCCGTGATTGTGTGCACTTCCATATACACATATGGCCCGTTCTAATATCTTCCCTTTATAGTCCACTTTTGTTATTCCTTACTTTAGGAAAAGTGAAATATAAAGTTCACATTATCGGGTTCTCATTATTACATCTTTCCTTTAAAATATATGAATTTTTTTACTCAGATGTGGCAAGCTTTTTTTAAAAGTAACTGGTATTCACTGCATGTTTTTATAATGACATCTTCATTTTAGTTTAAAAATAATAAACAAAACGAATTTGTAATTAGTTTCGTGAAATAAATTTATAATTCAGTTCTTCAATATAAAATAAATGATTTGCGTTACCCATTTCTTTATTTAAATTATTATATAATTTTAAATATATTTTGCTTTTATTGCCATATTATCGATAAAAAATATGGCAAGATGAATTCTGTAAACTTTACGTTAAAAGATAAAGGGAAGATCGTCTGGCCTTTTACTTATCGGACAGTTCATACTTAAATGAGACTTGTAATAACGAAAAACGATTTATGTGTCCGACAACATCATTTTTTTATCTATCGGCAAGATGTAATAACCGGTCTATGTGTATTATTTTTGACGACGAACATACGCCGCGAAAAAATTCGTCGTTCGCTCTAATTGTGTTCCTAGCATTATCTAGTATAAGCAGACAAATTTTAAACTGGTTTCCCATGAACTAGTTCAGTACCAATTATTGTTAGTGAAATTCTAATTTTTAGTTTAAATTAATTTTTTTATTGCAAACAAATGAATACAAATATACATTACTCTATAAAACTTGAACAAAAATAAATTTAATTTAATATTTATAAAAGCACTTGTATTGCTTTTCGCAGTTGTGTTTCAGGGGTGTCCGAATATTCTGTAACTGGTATTGAATCTGCAAAAAATAATGTTTAATGTATGAAAATGTAGAATATAAAAATAATGTTTATATACACCTTACCTAAAATAACGCTGAATATATTACTTAGGGACTTCAAACTTTTTTCCATGGTTTCCCTCAATATTATACTCGTAGTAATATTTGAACCGATAACATTTTTAAACATTTCGATGTTTCCTCTCCTTTTATAATTGATGCTATAATCTTTACCTAAAAATTAACAAAAATTGTATATAATCTATGTTTGTTCAGCAATACATTTAAAAAATACTTACATATATGTATTGATTCTCAATATTTTTCATAAGTGATGGGGAACCTATTCGATAATGGTATCTCATCACTTTGAGATCGTAGCACTATCACCTTCAACTCAGTTAAAGTATCAGCTAAAATTTTGATTTGACCTATAGTGAAAACAAACAAATTAATAATTTGTAACAATTCTGAGAAGAATGCTATAATTTTACCTTGAATTACTTTTATTATTATTTTATTACTATTATTACTTTTACTACTCATTCTTACCTTTTTATTTGTTATTTTCATCACTTTATAACTTATTTGCACAGAAAAATGATACTTCACTTCACAACGATCAGAATAAGAACGCTTTTTCCAAACAAAATGCACTTGCATTCCTCAAGAATAACGGTGCATTGTTTTTTTATTGGTAATCTAAAAAAAACTATTCAAAGTGGTTCTTGTTCGTAGAGATCTCATTCAAATGTTAGTTTGGTTTTTTCGTTGTGGTTTTTATGTCGCTGTCGCTTCTTTGCATTACTTGGGGACGAAAAGGTGTCAATTGGTTACCTTTGTATTACTTGGGGACACATTTGGTACTAGTCCGGCTTATATCTAGTATAGGACTGGTGAAATTGAGTTAAATGGAATTTTCATTGCCAGCGGGTATGTACATTCTACGATCATAAGTCGTGTAGAAACTCTGGGAGGGGAAGCAAACAAAAGTGATTACATTTCACCACGGTTGGTTTAGATCCACCCGACCGGGACGCATGGACCCATCCACCTTTCCGCGGCATAGCTGTATATACTGACGGCTCCAAGATGGAGTGAATCCTACAAGCTCAGAAACGGCTGTAGCGTATTCCAGGCGGAAATATTTGCTGTCAAAAAAGCCATAGACTTCTTGGACACGAAGAATATCTAAGTTAACGGTCCGGTGCCTATATATGAAATGGTCAAAGGGGGCAGAAGTCTTTAAACTATTTTACTATTAAGTTTATGAAAAACACTGGATTGTCCATCAAACTCTCTTGTGTTTCAGGTCATTACAATTTTGCAGGCAATGAGATTGAAGACGTATTGACCATGCTGGGATCTCGGTTAAACCATCCTTGTACCATAGACACTACTCTGACAAAACTCAACAAAAATTGCTAAATGAAAGGGGATGTAATGTCACCAAAAGAATCTGAACGAAACGAAATCGCAATTGTCCTTGTCGAAACCTAAAACTTGTAGTGGGCACCATCAAAGGTCACTGCAAGGTGAGGGCAATGACCTCGAAATGGAACAGCGATGATGCTGATTACTGCAGAATCTGTCAAGATAGCGACAATATTACTATGGGTTATGATGATCAATATTATATATAATATTGTGAGGTCATAAATGTATGTTTCGAGGTGTTACAGACAGATTGACAAACTTCGTATACTCTTCATACTAAGATGAAAGGTATAAACAAGAAAAAAGAACATTATAAACAAAGAAAACAGTTCGAATTTTTAATAATCTCCATTACTTAAAATGAACTCGCAAATTGTAAAACATTTTCGATAAAAATGCTTCTGTTGGTTATAAAGGAACTTTACGAAAGCGGATCCTATATTACCAAATGAAGGCGTTTACATCCGAAATCTCTACTCGTATCAACCCTGATAATTAATCAATTACAATAAAATTAAGGTATGTTTATACAATCAGATTTATTGTAGTTCAGGTTTAACTCGGGTAAAGGTTTTGTTTGTAAAAGTTCTTTTATCTTCAAAAAAAGGCGTATTGCGAACTCTTGAATTAATTTCGAGATAACTTCGTTGAAAAATGTGGATAAAATTAAAAATATACCGAATATCAGAAAGTACAATTATATGGGGCTATGGGAAAGGTGGATCTGTAAAGCAATTTTCTGTCATAGAAAGTAGTGCCTATTGCGAACTTTAAAATTTGAAATAATCCCAGTGCAAAAATGTGGGTTAAATCGTGAAAAATCGAATATTGGGAGGTAAATTTAATAGGGACCTATACGAAAACATTGACCGTGGACCAATTATGAACCTGAACTGTCTACTGATAAAAAAAACTCATATATACTTTTTAACTCAGTTTATTTGAAACATAGGATTGTTACAGCTGACAGACGAATAACGGCATATAAAAATTCATACGTGGCAGGATATAACGTGGATGAGTTATATCAGAATGACAAAGTTCATATGTTGGCGGGTACAATAACTAACCCTAGATAAGACGTTTCAATTAAAATCAATCGATAAATAGTTTATTATAATTCGTTTAATCTATTATGTAAACGAACACTCCTATTGTATGTCAGATTTTGCCGATTTTTTTTTGTTCTCCGAACCCGAATTTACCATTGTGAATGAGAGACTGCGAGTTATATGTGGCAAGAAACGCAATGGGTTATAAGCAGTTCTCAGATATTTTATTGGAAGGTTTCAGGGTTATGTGAAAAATATATACTTTTTGATTTGGATGTGTAACTTATAAATTAATTTATATGGTGTCAAACATTAAACGGCTTTTCAAACTTTTTGTCAAAACTGAAAGGTACTTATAATCTTAATTTTGGATTTATAAGCATGTAAATTGTCATTAAAGCTTGCTTAAAGTTATGTTCTGTACATGTTAGTGAACGTTACATGGTGCAATTAATATACCTCGTTGGCACTCTTTATTGTTACAAGTGTGAATTGTTGATAAATGACCATCGTATATATATATATATATATATATATATATATATATATATATATATATTTATATATATATATATATATATATATATATATATATATATATATATATATATATATATATATATATATATATATATATATATATATATATATATATATATATATATATATATATATATATTTATATATATATATATTTCTGAGAAAGTAACAAATTCTAAATCTGCCTTGTATGCGAAACTTTGTTACATGCAACTATTTCCATTAAACGCTTATCCAGAATATATACTTTGAATATTTCGAGGAGTTACAAACGGAATGGCAAAGCTATTATAAAACTATAAAAGTAAATTCGACCACTTCAAAGTCATACCTGGCTTAGCGATAACATATTTAAATTGAACAAAATATTTATAATTATTTCCTGCAGCGCCAGAGGCTTAATGAATAAAAAACTTTTACAATTCTTAGAAAGTGTATGTGAGACTTAGTTAAATGCAAGTATTTTTATCAAAAACCAGTCCTATATATGCAATCATAATGATCGTTGTAATAGAAAAGGATGCGTTGCTGTATTAAGCAGAAAAAATATACGTCATAAGATGCTAAAACCAATTGAAACATATCAAATCGGAAATATTAGTGTCCAAATTTATTGTAATAACTATGAAATAAATGTATATGCCTATTATTTTCCAAGGGATGTTTATGACCCACAACGAAAACATTGTTTCTTATCAGATATTCACAAAATGACAAAACACTATATTTGGAAGTGATTTCAATTCCATACATTAATTTCGGGACTACCTAAAAACAATTGTTGGGGAAATATATTCCATACTAAGTTACAATCTAGTACCTTCAATATTATGTACCATAGAAATCCTTCGTGTATTTCTGCTGATGCAAGAAGACAACCGTTAACCTTGGATAGTCTATTGACTGATATTCTTCATTATCTTTGCTCTGTGAATGTTATAAAGCAGTTGTTTTCAGACCACCTTCCAGTAAAAATAAAGGTATACTGTTTCACTGATATGAACGACAAATGTTTCTACAGTTACAATAAAACCAAACAGAGCTGATTTAAATCATAAATAAGTGACAAATTAAATATAAGCCAAATAGATTGCACAACAAAATCGAACATTGACAACGTACCCAAATGTACATATCTAAATAAACCTACTTAAATACCGCAACAAATCAAGGAAATGAACTAGAACAGAACAGAAATTTTCATAAATGAAATTGGAAGCGTTATAGAGATACGGTAGATAGACACCAAATGAATGTGCTCAAGAGGAAAATTCATATTGTGTTAACCAATTTTAGAAATACAAGGATGTTGAAGAAAAAGAAATAATCTACCTCCACTTAAAATTAATGGTAACATGTACTTTACACAGGAAGAAAAACGTAAGTTATTAGCCACAACTTCTTAAACAACAATAATATATCTGCATTACTTAGCGATATACATACAATTCTAGAATCGAATAATTCTGTTGATTGTAAAATGCTGCAAAACAATATTCACAACTCACGTCCGCTGATGAAGTATTTAATTTGATAAATAAATTTAAAGAATAAGAAATAAAAAACCAACTAAGGACGATCAGGCCGAAATCCTAATACCCTCCACCAATTTGAAAGAACTTAAAAAATTCCCAAAAATCCGTCAACAATAACGCCCAAAGGAAAACCGTTTTATGGGAGCTATTCGAAGATGTGGTTCTGCATATATAATGTTTTTGACATAGGCTGTAGAACACATTACGAACTTTTCATGATTTCAGCGACATTATTTAGCAGAATTATTTCAAATGTCGTATTGCGAGATGTTAATGGTTACTACAACCTATGGGAAAAAATTCGTATGCAGGTCCACGTATTCGGTATTTCCATGATTTTAGCAAATTTTTTTACAGGAATTGTAACAAAATTCGTATTTAAAGTTTGTAATGGGTACTACAGCACATGACAATAACATGGTATGTAGGTTTACGTTTTCGTATATGCCCCATTGATATACGATAGTTACTTTCTCAGAAATATATGTATATATATATATATATATATATATATATATATATATATATATATATATATATATATATATATATATATATATATATATATATATATATATATATATATATATATATATATATATATATATATATATATATATATTTCTGAGAAAGTAACAAATTCTAAATCTGCCTTGTATGCGAAACTTTGTTACATGCAACTATTTCCATTAAAACCCAGTCCTATATATGCTATCGTATTGATCGACGTTGGGGAAAAGGAAGTGTTGCTGTATAAAGCAGAAAAAATATACGTCATAAGATGCTAAAACCAATTAAAACATATTAAATCGAAAATATTAGTGTTC